CAAATAATTTTCTGACCCAGTAAAGGACATAAGAGTTCAGCAGAATCTCCGCAGAAAACACTTCCAGGATGCTCACACACAATAGGGTTTTACAAATAACAAATAAAGTTCCCTAAAACCTACTGGATACTATTGATGATTTCTATTAAAACTCACTTATTAGTAACACAAATTATTTTAAAAGCTATCATTACTGGAAAGCACTTTTCGTGCTGATTTACAGGCATTATTTCATGGACTCTTCTTAGTGACTTTCTATGACAAGCATCTCAGTTATATATTACTTCATGAAAACAATCCTAAAACCCAGTAGTTTCAAACAATAACGATAGTTTAAGTCCTCTTATAAAAGGGCAAGGGTTGGTCTGTGTTCAAGCAGAGTCAACTAAACCCAGGCTTACTGGATGATCCACTTGCAAGACTGTCATTCACATGGTCAGGATTGGTCCCAGGCATTTACCAAGAGCTCAGCCAGGCCTGAGGGCCACAGGGCTCAATGATTCCCACATGGGTGTGGGCTTCCTCACAGCATGGCGGCTGGATTCCAAGAGCAATACATGTCTAGGTGCTTAGCATTTTGATCACAGAGCTTTGCTAGGAATATAATAATCAATTTCACTACAGTCTGTCTGTCAGTCAAGGCTGTCACAACATAATCCTGGAGACCAAAGAGAAGACACATCAACCCTACCACAAGGTGAGAGGAGTAAAAAGGGAGCAGTGTGGCAAATGTGTGTCCAGAGATCCTTGTATGGCTATCTTTGGAAAATTCAATATGCTACAGAATCCTTGGTATCATCTCCATTTGGAAAATGGTGAAACTGTGTCCTACACAGACTCAGACACAGTTTTCTAGGCACACAGCTCACAAGGCAGAGTCCTTGCCAGCAACTCTCCAGCTTTCAAGTTCTTCTAAAATTTCTCCTATAATTAATCTGGCCTGGATCACCTCTCCTTTCCTTTTCTGGGAAGGGTCTATGTCATGTCACTAACAGGAAGATGAAGGTAAACTTCCCATTATGGGAGATTTTACTTAATGAGATACCTGTCCTTTCTCCTCAACTAAAGTCTGAACTGCTTGGAAGACAGGAAGCAGCTCAGTAATACCTTGTATCCTCTTGAAATTTGATCCGGTTCCATGGGCACAACAGGAGTTCAATGAACTCCTATTTGAGATGCACCTATTTATTTCCAGCCTGTGTCTCTGACTCTCCACCACACTGTGAATGAAAGGCACAGGGAGAGGGGCTGGAGGCTTGGTTCTAAGCTCCTGTCCTCAACCCTCAACTCACATATAGCCCCTCATGTTATATTCCTTGAATGAATTAAGGAATGTATGCATGAATGAATGAATGATAGATGGATCTAAGTGGGGTAGTGTTCCAGGTTTATCATCACTTTCTTGATCCAAACTAGCAAAATCTAGCATAAGAGATAGACAATGCCTTCTCATTGAGACCTTCAAGCCTAAGACAAGGCAACCTGATGTTTTGGTGGAAAATTAAACCCAGTGGGCCTCATGTTGGAAAGAAGCAGATAAAGATGCATCACACAGAGGATGGCAGTGCAAAGAGTTTTTAGCTGAAAGAGAGAAAGGATGTAAGCTTTGTTGTTTTCATTTTATGCTGGTACTGGGACTTGAACACAGGATCTGTACACTGTCTCTTAGCTTATTCACTCAGGACTGGTGCTTTACTAAGTGAGCCACGTCCCCATTTCTAGGATTTTGGTGGTTAATTGAAAATAAATGTATCATGTACTTTCTTGACCTGGCTGTCTTTGAACCGTGATCTTCATAGCATTATAGAGGTGAAACACTGACAGCCAGATATAAAACTGCAATCTTTAAGCCTGTTCATCTTCTCTGACATTTTCTAACACTCTCCTTACTGGGATCCTGGGGTTAAGTGCAGAAGACACAAGGAGAAGAGGAGGAGGAAGCAGTCAGTGTTCCCTGATGCCTCCTCTACTCCATGCTGTCTGCTGAGTAGAAGCTTGGGTGTTTACTCCTACTTAGACAGTTTCATAATGAAATGAAATGGGGCTGGGGGAAGGCAGCTGGAACAGGAAGTAGGGACAAGAAGTAGCTGAGATGCAGCAACCAATTTCAGTTCACCAAGATTCTACATTGGAAATCCCACAGTTATCCTGAACTGTTAATGGAGTAACTCAGAGGTTCATTCTCCTTTACCACACATCTCTGTAAATAAATAAAACCCTCTGGCATCTACTTACCATGCCAATCTAAACCTGGTTTCTCCCAAGTTTTTCCCATCTACCACACTTTCTTGGTTTGAAAAGAAATCACTGCAGGAAGGCACACACATTTTCGCTTCCCAGAATGAGTGGCACAATGAATTGTAACCATGGAGCGATCATGGAGAAATTTTTTTCTATTTTTTGCTTTGCCTTCTAGAGTTCCTTCAGCAAAAATTAATTTTGCTGAGTCTTGACCCTTAAGGGTCTTAGAGGGAGGTCATAAACTGACCTCAATTGAAATGCTGAACTGAAATTTCTTTGTACAACTACTTAATATGTATGTATGTGGATTTATAAAACATTTACTAAATAGCATGCTATGAAAATAAATGAAGAAATAAGAGAGAGGTAATGCAATCTCATGTCTAATTTCTCTATTGTGTTGGAAGGTATCTTTTCATAAACACAGTCTACCAAAATATTGGGTACTAGTGATGACTCACACCTGTAATCCTAGCTACTCGGGAGGCTGAGGTCTGAGGATCATGATTCCAAGCCAGCCCAGGCAGAAAATCCATGAGACTCTTATCCTCAATTAACCATCCAAAAGCCAGAGGTGGAGGTGTGTGTGGTCAAGTAATAGAACTCCACCAGCCTTGAATGAAAAAAGCCAAGTGAGAACTCCTGAGACCCTGAGTTTAAGACTGTTGAGAGAAAGATTCATATGATCAGTGAGCATAGTTTTTTCCTTGTCTGGTCTGTAGTAATTTGCTGTGCTTTATCAAAGGCACTCAACAAGCACCTCCACAGTCTGCACTTCTCAGCATGGTAGGGGAACAAAGTCCGTGCATGGCTGCAGCTGTGTGACTACTGAGGAGGGAGCTTGAGTCTTCCTCCACTGTGAGGCCCTGCC